CCTCCCCCCCCCCAGCTATATTTTACGAATTCCGATCGGCGCCCACAAACAACGCTTTCCTTCTGAACGCTTCATTTTGCTTTGCTCAAGAATTCTGGCATTGTTAATCTTCTACATACTCTTACACCCAAGCTGAGAAATTCGGGATGCCGTGTGGACTACCGACACACGAACGAAACACATACCCTCACCCCTCGTCGGTACAACCTTCGTTGTCTCTGCTCCAACCCGTCGGCCTCCACTCCTGTGGGGCTACCTGACCCTCGCCCCATATCGCAGGCTGAGGCATCTTACCTCCAACGTTTTTTTACCACTCCTTTGCTATGGCGGCGGACATTTCTTTTTCACCCTTTTCCCGCCTCCCTCACATAAACCATCAGAGTCCGCAATTTCGATCGGCCTGCACGTTGGATCTGCAACTCTGACATCCCTTGTGCCGCCAGTTGCGTGGCTCCCCCGATCCGCCTCTTTGTAGACTCTGTACGGCATACATTTATTTCTCCGCTCGCTCCTACATGTACCATACAGCAGTACTTTTTTTATGTTATTAATACAAGGTCTCCAGGCTCGGGCGCCAGGCGCCCTCGCCTTTTGCTCAGTATTACGCTAAAAGGTAGGGTGGTGGGTGAAGACCGTGCACATCATACCAAGGGCAACAAGCTGGAAAACACGTTTACCTGTCTTTGTATGGTACTGGAGTGTAAGGCTACAGCAGCACCTTCAATACTGTAGCGTGTCGTTGACAGTATTACAGGAGGAAAAAAAAAAAAAACTTGCAGTTCACGATGAGCATGCAATGCATATGATGTTCGAAAACTCAAAGCACAAGCGAAATTACTTCAGACAATGAACAGCTGTGGCGCAACAACAACACACAATAAAAAACAAACCCTGTCCAAATTCGTTCCTACAGCAGCAGACCTACCCGCACATTTTCAACGTTGCCTCAGACTATATATCACGAAGAACAACTAAGAATTCCACGAAAAGGTCACGCTTTCACGCTTCGTGCCGACTAACTTCTGACTAACTTCCAGGAAATATTCCACGAAATGCTTGTGGTATCCACGACATGTGCATCATTCCCTTTTATATCTACTGTTCACCTATGAAAGACAGGCAGGGATATTGTGTACTTGAAGTAGCACACCGCACAACAAACGCACGTGGACTCTCTACCGTTCATCTGTACACCGTAGAGTGTGTAGGCTACAGCAGCATCTTCAGTACTACTGTACAGCGTCGTCGACAGACAGTATTACAGAAGACAAACAAACTTACATTTTTCCGTGAGATGTGCATGCATGTTCGAAAATACAAAAGCACAAGCCAGCTTTCGGCTTACCACAACAAAAAAAAAAAATCTTAACCCTCCCTGTTCAATTCCTTCCTGCAGCAGCAGTAGACCTGTACTTGCCAAATGCAGGGTTGTGGGTGCATCTTCAGGCATAGACTACATTGCCGCGTGTACGTACGTGAAGATACACGATGCACGTGAGGACTATGAAGTAATTACTTGAGCTAATGTTTTTATATATATATATTCTTGCGTGGAGAACGTGACGACAGCAGTCTGTCGATACCTAGTCGACACCACGCGGCACAATTCAGTAAAATCCGTCGTCGGTGCTATTCTTAGGCCTTTGCTCCATCGGCCGTTTTATTTTGATTTAGATACACAAACTATATTTACATACTAATTTCAAGTAATTTCACCTTCTTATTCTTCGTCGTACAAACAAAACGGCCGATGGAGCAAAGGCCTAGCTTATACTACATGTAGCAACTGCAACGTTCTCCAAAATCTCGTCCAATGAGCGGCGTGATTCTTGAGGTGACAGTCCCTACCGTAGAAGCGCCCGGATGCCAGGAGATTTAGTCGTACTTCACGGTGCTGTAACTCGGCTCGCCCTTGAAGTCTCGAGCTCGCGACAGGGGCGCCATGATCGTGAGAGTGGCACGCCCACGTCGGCGAAGACGGCCGAAAGAAATGTTGAAGCCCCATATTAAAACAAATAAAACCGATTTACCGCACCGCAACGTCTAGCTCAATGACTGAAATGGTGGTTGCGTGCATTCACTGTGCTGTAACTCTACTTGCCTTTGGAGTTTCGAGCTCGGGACACGGGCGCTGTGATCCGGAGACTGGTCCGCTGCAGCGAGCAACAGCCGGCGAAAACAAAAGTCTCAAGGCGACCGCGAACTGATTAACCGACAAAAGACGTCTTGCTTTTAGACTGCAACAATGGTTGAACGTTTGCGTCTCAGGCTTCCGACATAATTGTACATAAGCTTATGAGAAGGGCGACCGACGGCGACGATCGACGGAGCGACCGCGGCGCGATCGACGAAGGCGGCCCAAGGCCGCCCGATCGATCAACCGACCGACCGACCGACCGACCGACCCACCCAACCCAAGCCTACCCAACTCAAGCCTGCCCAAACCTACCCAACCAAACGCGACCCAACCCAACCCAGCGGCAACAAACGACGAAGTGACAGCGGCGACCCAACCCCAACCCGACCCAACCCAACCTAACCCAAGCCTACCCAAGCCTACCCAACCCAATCCAATTCAACCAAAAAGCGGACACGGTCGGGTGAAATTTCGTTCGGTTTGCAGAGGGCGGGGATGATGGACGTGAAACACTTCGCCACAATCATGTAGATAGAAGTGACGAACAGGAGCCGAGCGACCTCGTACCACCAACGGCGGAGTATTCATTCCTCACCCCCTCCTCGCACCCGCCCAGCTCTAATTACTCCAGCTACCTCCTCCATCCAAACCAGCCTCTCTTACTACTGGCCTCCACGCACTCCTGCCCGTTCTGTCGACCACCAACCCACTCCCCCGCCTTCCCCACTAACCTGGGACCCCCCCCAAAACGACACAATTTTTTCGTTCCAAGAACCGCGAACAAGTCCGTGCGAACCAGGCCGCCCGATCGACCGACCAACCGAGACCCTACCCAACCCAAAACACAACCCCAACCCAATCATACCCAAAAACACAACCCGACCAACCGACCGCCCAAACCCACCCTACCCCCAACCCAACCCGACCCGACGAACCGAGCGACCAAGCGACCGACCAAACCCATCATACCTAACCCAACTCGAACCTTCGCTACCCTACCCCCTACTCAACCCAGTACAAAACACAAAAAAAATCCAAGCCCAACCCAACCCAACCGACCAGCCGATCAACTGACCCAACCCGCCCTACCCCCAACACAATCCGACCCCATCACATAATAACCCTACTACGCAACCAACCCGACCCAACCCAACCCAACCCAACCCAACCCGACCGACCGAACCACGACAGGCAGCGACGGGGTGAAGATTACGTATTGGCAAAGAACGCCAATAGGATGATGAGTCTTTCTTCCCGATGGAATCTTCAGTTTTCATGGCAAGAACACCGCATCCTCGACCCTGCTTGTGCGAAGTTGCAGCTAAAAAGTAGCCTCGCCAGGCCTGCCGTTCGTTCTTGTTACTGCTGTGTGAGTTCGATCTACCTTTCAATGATGCGCAAGGCGTGTGCTGTACACAGGGAGGGGCCGAAATAAATGTGTAAAATGGTTCAGTAGCCAGCTATGGAGTATACATGTACTTTTTCTAGAGACGAAACGCATCATCCACAGTACGTCGATCATCATCATGTCTCCTTTTTTCCCGAATTGCTTTTCAACACGATGAACAGCGTATAGATGTGTAGCATGCGGCAATACTATGTACAATGCATATCTACACGGTCAAACAAATATTTTTTTACTCCCCGCCGCTTCCGGGTGTTT